AGGGGTGTGCACCAGGGTAGGGTTAGGGTTTGAAAAATGGGGTGTCCTGGCATAATTTTGATGGTTGGAATGTGTTTAGAATGGGCAGACATGTTGAGCTTTGCAGAAAAAGCTACTCAAGGGAGGCTTTTTCAAAATCGTGCTCTTTTCAATTGAACTTTAGCTCTACTTTAGAGTTAGGGGAGTGCACCAGGGTAGGGTTAGGGTTACTAAAATGAGGTGTCCTGGCATGATTTTGATGATTGGGATGTGTTTGGAATGTGCAGAAAGGTTGAGCTGTGCAGAAAAAGCTACTCAAGTGAGGCTTCTTCAAAATCGCCTTCTTTTCTATGGAATTTTATTCCTATAATAAGGTTAGGCATGTGTACCAGGGTAGGGTTAGGATTACAAAAATGAGGTGTCCTGTCATGATTTTGATGGTTGGAATGTGCTTGGAATGGGCAGAAATATTGACCTGTGAAGAAAAAGCTACTCAGGAAGTCTTCTTCAAAATCACCCTTTTCTATTGAACTTTAGGGTCAGGGTTTCAAGAATGGGGTGTCCTGGCATGATTTTAATGGTTGGAATATGTTTGGAATGAGCAGTAATACTGAGCTGTTCAGAAAAGCTACTCAAGTAAGGCTTCTTCAAAATTGTTCTCATTTCTATTGACCTTTGGTCGTATATTAGGGTTAGGGGTGTGCACCAGGGTAGGGTTAGGGTTTGAAAAATGGGGTGTCCTGGCATGATTTTGATGGTTGGAATGTGTTTAGAATAAGCAGAAAGATTTAGCTGTGCAGAAAAGCTGCTCAAGGAAGGCTTCTTCAAAATCGCTCTCTTTTCTATGGAATTTTATTCCTATAATAGGATTAGGCGTGTGCACCAGGGTAGGGTTAGGGTTTGAAATATGTGGTGTCCTGGCACAATTTTGATGGTTGGAATATGTTTGGAATGGGCAGAAATGCCGAGCTGTGCAGAATGCAGGGTCCTCTGCTACCCACTCCCTTTTAACTTGTTCCAGTGCTGGAACTCCAGCATCAGGTAAGTCCGTTTCTCACAGAAGAGCCTGTCCAAAGTCCTGATCCTCACCTGAGGATCCTGTCCTCACCTGAGACTGGATTGCAGGGGTAGAAATGAGCAAACCTATTAAAGTCTGTATATTTTAACTTATTGGTTTTATTTATTGTTGTAAGCCGCCCCGAGGCTTCGGCGAATGGGGCGGCATAAAAATGTTTTAATAAAATAAATAAATAAATAAAGTCCCCAAGCACCCTTTTCAGGGGCCATGAGATTGCAGCTGAAGCTTTTTAATCTCCGAGTAAGTTTACTTTCCCTCCATAAGTATGTCATTGTTCCACAGAATCCAGTCTTCTTCACGTAACCCTCCCACCACTCTGTCTTGATTTATACTGTGGAAAACCTGTGAAGGAAGAACAGGTGGAATAGCAGCTGAATGCTTTCTAATTGTTCATGTTCGGATCCTCCATCTGCAAGCACCCTTTGTTTCCTGTACTGTTAACTTTATTTCAAAGTTAACAATAGAAAGCCCGGGAGGGGTGCATATTAGAAGAAATAATTCCCTTTCTTTTGCGATGCTTGTGCAACAGACACACAAATACAAACAATGTTGTCTATGCCCCAGCTCACCATGTTTTAAATAAGCCGTGATGGGTTGCCATGTGTGGTTTCTTTTGAAACAGACCATAGCCATGGCTTGTCTTGGTACCTGGGTTGTCTTGTCTGGCAGAGCTGGGTTCTGGAACGATTGACCAATCCTCACATTGTCCATGGCCTGTTTTAGGGTTGTGTGAGAATTGTTGAACCCTACTACAACCCACTCACACTGGATGTGGACCCCAAGGCACAGCAAGCCAGAGTCACAACCTCAATAGGCAAAATGGTTAGCTGCACACACTACAACCCACTGTGGATTAAATAAGACACAGCAGACTTTTCCCTTATGCAAACCAGATCAATGCATCCATGAGAAAGAGCTACAGTCCCAGGTGGGCAACTTTTGGCCCTCCAGATATTTTACCCTACAAGTTCCATCAGCCCTAGTCAGCATAGCCAGCACTTAGGGATGATGGGAGTTCTAGGCCAAAATACCTAGAGGTCCACCACCTGTCCATCCTGCCTAAAGTTGAGCAGGTCTTGAACATATCTTGAAACTTGTTTTGAATAGGAGGGCTCATCCTTGGTATGTGTAAATTAATAATATTGACAACAGCATCTCTAATCATGTGCAGAATGCCTTTCCAGCACCCACAGAAATTACACTCAGTCCCTTGTGGAGTAGAATTAGAGGAAAATAATGCCTCTCATATTATTGGCTATGATTTTCTGGGCAGGCATCATTTCAGGCATTTTTGTTTTTCAAAACTGAGTCCTGAGGGCAGCCTGTCCTTCTAAATGGTGAAAAACTTGAATAAATAATGGTTTTTCCTTTCCTGCTTTAGAAAAATAGCAGATCATTTTCCAACTTTGGTATTGTTAGCTGTTACTAAATTAACCAAACATGTAGGACGTGATTGCATTATCAAATGGTTTCAATACAATTACACTGCATTCTAAATATCTGTTCTAATTATATTTCCATTTGACAGAGTAATAGAACTTCAAAAAAACTGCAATCAGAATAATTTTTCACTGCCAAATTTGAGAACAGAAGGTGAAAAGGTGCATTTAGATGATTTTATAAATGTCTGGCTAAACTTCACATAATTAAGCTACCACACCATCAGAAAGGGCTAAACAATAAACTAGAAAGCTTATATTTTAATCTTATTTCAAGCAGTTGATTATTCTCCATAATTCAGAGCTCTTATATAGTTGTAGTTCTCTTCCCTTTGCATTAATTTGCTTCCCTGTCATTTAAAATTGATGAATAACAAAAATGCTAATATATGTTTGGTCCAAAAGAAAAAAAAATATACAGAGGGAGAGGAAAAGCATGGCCAAGAAAGCCATTCTTTCTCATTCACGACATTTTCTTGCCCATATCTGCCCTGCTTTTCCAAAGAACACAGGCACACACCGTGTTGTGGACTAGCTCAGAGACGCAATTCTCTAAAAAAGAAGGAAGCAAAGACAAAAACTCTCAGCGGAAATTGAAATAGGTGGTACAGATTTAATACAGATTGAAACCAAAATCTTAATTTACACACAAGATGAAAACAAATATATTAAAATGTAATAAGCATGACAGTAAAAGAAATATACAACACCCAATCAATTAAATGTCCTTTGGCAACAGACCAGCTTATATGTCAAAGGCCTGCATCTCTGTTGTCAGTATCTGCTTGTGAACAGACAATGGAGTTGGGACCATCCAAGTTTCCCCTGTGGGGGGAGTTCCAAAGCCTGGGAGAAATTCGTTCCTGGAGACTGCTCATAGGTGCTGCCTATTCACCTTCCTTATTCACCTGTCCAGGTAAGCAAGCTGGGACAGGAATAAGAAGAAACAGCAACCCCTGCATGCCAACCAAGGCCAGAACTCTTTGCTAGTGACTGAATCCTTTTGCTAGTGATTGCAGCTCCTCCTTGGATCCCAGAGGCCCACCTATGCCTCATTTTGTTCCATGTACCTTTGAGAACAGAAAGAGATCTTTGCAGTGGGTTGGTACTACAGCATCTTCTTTCACCTGGAATAATCAAGGCTGTTACAACTTCCTTCATCCCAAGCAGAAAATGTCAGTAATGAAGCTTTTTAGGAGGTTCCATAAATGGGGCATCTCTGCTGAAAGGCCCTTCCCTCCATTCTTGTCCACCTTACTTCTGAATGTGGGTGCTACTAGAGAAGGACCTCAAGAGCAAGATGGTTGGTATGGTTTCATAAGGAAAACAAAGCAACAAAACAAAGTAACTCTATCCTGCAGCTGCTAATGTTGTCCATGCTGTTTTGCTGAGCTATTCTGGTGTTAGTCTTGAAGCACCAAGTGATACTTCAGTTGCCCTCCACATCTGCAGAGCTTGCTTGAAGCTATCTGGTAGCAAACTCTGGTCATTCAACCATCTGCACCCTAATGCTCCTTGTCAGCTGCTTTCTTGAAGATTTCATTGTTACTGCATCCCTCAAGCTTTTGACTGTCATCACTGCAAGATGCCTGGGATTCTGACAACCTCACTTTTGCTCCACAGAATCTCATTCTAGTCCTGGTCATCGATGGAAGCCTGCTATTGCAAGACATGGGTAACTAACGCTTCCCTAGTTCATGGACTGCAGAAGGATGAGGGTCTGATTTTCACCTATTGTACCAAGACACTGATAGCAACAGAGCAAGGTGTCACCCCTCTCCATACTCTTGTAAAAAGCAACTTCACTGCCATAAAGTGGCTGGTGTCCATTGTCCCTGTCCCACACAGGGCCAACCAAGGCATCGGAGGCAAACAGCAAGATGATGCTTCCACCCATTTCATGTGCAAACCGGGCTGGATGGGAACTGCTCCTTTTACAATGCTGGTTCTGACACACAGTCCTCCATAATGCCTGCAAGTAGAAGACTTGCTTAGGACTGCAAGCCTTGAGCCTCCCAACACTTGGTTGCTGCCTACATAGGAGCAGCAAGAACCACCACTAGCTACACAAGGAACCCTGGGGTAGTCTGGGGAGCTGCCATTTAAGATGCCCCACAATCTCCTGAGCAATTCTGGACTGGGCACTCAGGGTCACTGTGGACTATTTCAAATGGTGGCTTCCCAGTTGCCTCCAAGTAGGTCCACAGCTCCAATATGAGAGGAAACACCAAATATTTCCACCTGTACTGCTGAGGGTTTCCTCCTGCTGGAGCCAATCCCCTCTTGGTACCGTGGACATTTCCACAAATTGGCAACTTGTGGCTGCAGCAGCAGCCTGACAACATGCTGTGAACAAGCAAGTGTCTCCCAGCTCACCAACAGCCACACCTGTGAAGGAGGATTAATTTGCTACCTGAGGCTGCAGAAACATCAGAATGCTGCTGGAGTTGCAGCCCAGAAGAAAAATACAAGCAGAAACTGCAAAAGTAATCATGATGTCTTACATTCCCAGGGGAACTTCCAACTGACATTTCTGATGTGTACATAATATTCCAGGTTACTTGGCATCTTTTCCGATGACCTGCATTTATAAAACAAAACAAGAAGTGCATTGAGTATACTTCCCAGCTAATTAGTCTGTTGGCCAAGAACTACTTGCCTTCTTTTGCCAAAGATTCATCTGGCCATCTTTCTCTTCTTAGGCTTTGAACCTAGGCTGAATTGTTTTGTTTTCTTTTGCTTTGACTTTCATGTTGCAAATGAAAATGAAAGATGAATGCCAGTGGATTAAGCAGATATCAGGAGCAGAATGAAATGTATACTTAAAATGACTGTGTGAACTCATGATCTATTGCTTACTAGGAAGGAGAGGGGTGAGCCTCAATCTGATGTGTATGTTTTGATTGCTAATGTAGTGACTGGAGAACTCTGGACAGAGAAAACATGAGGGGGTCTTAGTCAAGCTGAGGCACCCAGATTTTATCAGGCCACTGCTGTACAACCGTGCATAAAGCTGTTACATGTATTAAGTGGTTAAATGGCGTTTCCACTTTAGGTACAGAACAGCTTAGCTAAATTGACTGGTTTTGTTTGTACGTATGTGTGTAGAGGTCCCTCACACATATACAAAATAACACATAGCTTTAGAAGGAGAGATCATAGCTCATTTAATATCTGTTTGCTTATTTAAAGGCATCTTACATGAAGCTTACAAATGTAATAAACACACATATAATTGGGCTTTGAAGCTGACCTTTGGGTGAGTGTAGGCAACTTGTTGCCCTGTGGATGTGTTGGCCTACAGTTCCCATCATCTTTCACCATTGGGTATGCTGACTAGTACTGCTGAGAGCTGTGAGCCAAAACATCTGGAAAACCACAGTTAGTCCACCTGTGCCTTAAGGGCTGTGTGGTCATTAGATGCAGTTCTTCAGATTTCTCTGGTTTTAAAAAGTCAAAGTTAATACTTTGCAGTGGTTTCAGAAATGCTCTGGCCACCAGTGCAATTGATTCAGGACTGGGGTGAAAATGGGTGATGGTGGGGGAATCATTAAGAAACAGGTGATACGAAAGATATAGAAAGCACCTGGACCAAGTTTTATCATTCAACAATAACAATTTGTACCATCTGATAAAAAAATATAAGTACAGCATGATAGCCATGTGATATAGTTCATCAAGAAGATCGCTGGCACATTTAATAGTTTGAAAGACCTATGACAAGGGATTGGGACAGCTAACAGCTAGTTAGGGACCATCTTAGTTAAGGACAAATTCAGTTGGCATAAATCAGTCATCCCCAATCCAGTGTCCTCCAGAAATGTTGGACTGCAACTTCTATTATTCCCGTCTGACCTGGTCCATGGCAGACACCGAGTCTGACTCAAGAAATAAGAGGAGCTAGTTCTGTCTGCCGTAAATCGTTCAAACTGCGCTCCAGTTCCCCCTGTGGCAAAGCCCTTGCAAATGCAAAGATCACAGGAGTGGTACAAATATTGCTAACCCATTTTCTTCCTTATTATCATGAATGGCTTATAAAATATGATGCACACTAATTAGTTCCTTCAAAATTTATCACAGGCATATGAGAACCTCCCGTATAAAACATTAGATGGCACTATATATCTCTTGCAGTAAAATAACAATTAACCGTGTGTCAGGATGTTCAGAAAGATTGGAAGTTTGGTATCTGAATGTTTAAGAAGGTTGCATGCATTTCTTCCTCTATTCCCAGTTCCCAGCATAAAGGCGATGTTTCACTTTGAAGCTCCCAGTAAAAGGCCTGGTCAAAATCAGTGTATTTGTTATGGTAATTGCCAATTGAGTTCGTTGTAGATCATCTGCTAGAAGACACAAACTCTTTTTCTACTAGAGTAACTTTTTATTGTAATTACACTAGTATCATCTAATTTTTGTCAATGTTGTACAACTCAGCATAATTGCCAGGTTGCTTAACAGCACAGTTACTTACTAGCCAATTAAGAATTAGCAATACTTTGGGAGAAAGGGCACTTTAGTTAAATTGCCTTCTTCTAACCAGCCATTGATAATTTACTCCTTCACTTGAGTCCAGTTGCTGGAGCGTTTCTTTTCCCTTTTCTCAGTAGAAAAACATGATTTCTCACTCATTCAAGCACTAAACCTCAATTATCACAACTTCTGCCCATCATTTTTAAAGGAATTGCCCTAGGAATCAGTCCACAGAGCCTGTTTGCACATGTGGCCAGTGAGTTATTTTATATCGGCTCTGCTTCTTCTTAGGCCCCGTTGTGAGGTGCCCATATCTGATCAATCCACAAACCCACAAATAGTGATTAAGAGTAACACCACCTCCCAATGTCACGTAACATTTGAGTAAATAGCTATTTGTTTTCTGTCTAACCTGATGGGAAAAAAATGGCTATCTGAGCACTCCATAGGGATGGTTTGCACACCTGGGAACCCCCCCCCCCCAATTACCTCCCAGAGTTTGCAGGGCTGTTGCTAACCTCATAGCTAGGAGGCCCTTTCACAGGTGCATGGTATCTGAGAACTGAAGTTTCTCAGTAGAAGTGTGCAGGCAGGGCCCAGAGTGTGGGCTGAAGAAACACAAGGCACCCCATGTTGAAGCTAAGCAGGGCTTGGCCTGGCCTGGCCTGGCCTGAGCTTGGAAGGGAGACCACTTGGGGACTGCATGTAGACACCTTGAGTTCCACAACGGAATTCAAGTCCTCCTGTGTTTGCCATCTTTTTTCTGCCTCCAGACTGAGGTTTCCCAGAGCTGTCAGTCAAGGGGCACTGGGCACCTCCCACCTTTCCCTCCTTGGCATTTTCTGTAACTGAAGAAGTGGGAGGAAAACATGGCAGGGTGCAGAAGGACAGTGGTGAGAAAACCTGGGAGTGGGAGTGAACAATAAGATGCTTGTGCCCCAGTTTTTTCTGCCCTACTGATTCCCTTCCAGAAGTGGCCCCGCCACTTGCAGATTGCACTTCTGGGTCAACAGGAAATAGGTGAAAATGCTCTTTTCTGGAAGGGGGCTGATCAGCTGAGCTCACATAATTTACTTGTCCCAATCTAGAAACAAGGATTTCCACTCATTTGAAGGCTTCCTCTAGAAAATTCTGAGCCTCCCTTGCACAACTAGTGGGTCCCACTCATACCACAGAACTGGCAGGACCCAGTGCATGCTAAAAGTTCTCAATGAGACATAGAAGAATTGGGGGTGCACGTACCCCACTGGACACTACCCCATGTCTGGATCTCCTACATACACACACAGTTCCATGACCAAGACAGTGTGATCGCACAGTGAAGGCATCATTTGGAAGCTTTGCCGCTCATAGAAATACCCTGGCATGGTGACAGCTGGCCCAATGGCATCAATGGGGCAGGTAGCTAATTTTAGACCTTGGACTTAACACATGTGAAGACAGTCCACAATCCAGCAACAGCCCTAACTCAATCTGTACTCCAGGCTGTCATTATTTGTGACCTGTGGCATTCCCTCCATGTGCCATTGCACATTTTGAGCTCACTTACACCCTACCACCATCCTGACTACAGAAACCAGTCACATTTGCTTCCGTCACCCTGACGCTGTGTCTCTCTCTGGTTGGTCATGCGGTAGGCACCAAAGAAAGGAGCACCTGCAAACCATGGACATACTCACCAGGAACTCTGACTGTGGGCTGATGCCAAGTGGACCAGAGTCTGGGAAGCTGAAGCCAGGGAATTCAGCAAATTTTTCTCACAAAACCAGTTTGTGAGGGTTCCTCACAGCTCCCCAGGCTATGGAACCTGGATTTTGATCCCAGGTTCCAGGCCTAGTTGCGCCATTGAATCAAATAGGGGCACGGTCATAGCTTTACTGGTACAATACCTAGGATTTCTTATGCAGTGATACCACCCCCATTCTTACACCCTCCCCAGCTTCCACAACCTTCAGTCTGTCTGCTGGGCAGTGAAAGTCAAAGTGAAGGGAAAGGCAAGCAAAGACAATCTGTAATAGAAGCATAACAGTAAGACGGCGTGTGATTAAACCCTACACAGGGTGTGTTGTTGTGCCACTAATTGTTTTCTACATTATTCATATGGAGTTTTCAGGGCTGGATGAAATATTTAACTGCCCTCTATTTACTGAAAGTTCAGTGTGGAGCTGCTCCTGTGCTTGGGATTACAGTGAAGATTTCACGGTATGTAAATACTTTCATTTTCTTCTCCACTTTTCCTTGATGATACAAAATAAGCAATTTGAAAATGAGTGAGTGCTCAATAAACTGGCCTCAGCTGGATATCAACCAGGCTCAGAGCGCTTATTTTCATATTTCTCCAAACTGTGTGAAACTTGGCAGACCCCAACATTTCTCCGATGCCAGACTCTTGAAGACCTAGTCAACAATCAAAGCTGCATGAACAAAACAGGCATGATTTGATTGCCACAGTAAATCATACGAGCACGTTCTCTAAATTAGAGACTTCTTGTGCCTGGCTGGTTAGCTCAAAACCAGAAGTGAAATCAAATTCAGCTGTTTCTTGACCCTGTGAAATTAGGTTAGGGCACCACTTGTTGATCCAGCTTTGCCTCCCCTGCCCGACTCCAGTTGTCTGAAGGCCTGTGAGGAAGACCCCTTCCTTGGTGAATCTTCTCTCTCACCACGATCACCACCAGAGGTCTTATTCTCTTCCGTATCAATGCTGCTGCTTGCTTGCTTGGCCAGGAGAGACTGGAGAGCAAGCAGGCCATGGCAGCTGCTGCTTCTCCTTCTCACCACCAGAAACCAGAACAAGAACTGGGTGTAGAAGCAGGTGGCAACAGTAAAGAGGAGGAGCAGCAGTTTCAGAAGGCTCATTTGGTGGGCCCATGCTAGAGAATGGGCCATGGCAGGAGCCCATACTTGTCTACCTCTGAGGCTGCCCCACAGGATCTACCATGGGGCAAAGTGAAGTGGCCTCATGAAACCTTGGATCAGAGAAAAGCAAAACAGTGTTGGTTAGCAGAGCTGTGTATGCCTGGCACCCTACCCAGCAAATCATGTGAAGTCAGGATCTTTTTTAACCAATATGTACCAGTTTACATTTGCTTACAAGGAATCCCCTTTCCCATTTTCATGTCCATCCCCCCAGTTTCAAGAGATGCTTTGGACCAATTTACTGTTCCTTTTTGTTTGAATCACCCTAAATAAATTAATGTTGTCAGCAAATTTGGCCACTTCACCACTCACCCTGACTTCAGATCATTCATGAACAAATTAAAAAGCACCTGTCCCCATACAGATCCTTGGGGAACCCAACTGTTTACTTCGCTGCATTGTGATAGCTGTCCATTCATTCCTACTCTCTGCTTTCTGTTCTCTGTTACTGATCAGTACAAAGACCTCTCACTTTATGTCATAGCTACTAAGTTTGATCAAGAGTCTTTCATGAGGGATTTTGTGGAAAGCCATGCATGCACACACATACACACAGTTATTCTAGAGCCCCTATAGCTCTGGGTGGTGTGCAATATACTAAAATGCAAAATGCAAACATTAAAAACCTTAAATAAAAGCAATGCAGAATAAAACCAGCATAAAACTAGCTATAAAATAGGATACAAAAAGTGCTTTAAAAAAGTTTTTAAGATGTCTGGGAAAATAAGAAGGTTTTCAGCCAGCACTGATGAGTGCCAGGCAAGGTTCTCTGGGAAGACGATTCTACAAGCAGGATGCCACCACTGAAAAAGGCTTTCTTGTAGCAACCTGGCTCACCTCATTTTGCAGCAGACCTTGGAGAAGGGTCTTAGATGGAGACTGTAATATCTGGGTAGGTAAATAGGAAAGCCCAACTCTTGAAACTCTAAATATCTACCAGATCATTATTATCTGCATGTGATTCTGCCACAGTTCATTCCTTAAGCTCTTTGAACTCTTGGTAACACTTTGGGGACATTACATCATCTCAGCCAATTGATCAGGCAGAAACGAGCTTTGATTATTTCAATCCACAATTGAGTTATCAAAGGTTTCTTGTTGTTATAAATCAACTCCTACTAGGCTAGAGCTAAGCAGCATATTAACCCTGGTAACAGGAGTAGAGATGTTTAATAAATTGGGATGGCCAGAATGGCTGAAATATCATCTAACATGTTGCAGTATGGATCTTTTGGCAGCAACTGCTTCTCAACTCTCGGGGATGCAATATGAGGGTTTTTCAAGAGGAGAGGGCAATCAATAAACTTGTGAGGCAGACCAGAGCAATATGAGTAATGATGTTGTGCAAGTAATAAACAGGTTTGGGTCAAGTCCCAGGATATTCCTCCAGCAAAGCTCCAACAGGCCTATGTCAACATCAGGCATATTTGCCGGTCTCAGATATTCCATCCTCTCCATATGGATTTGTGTCTGAAAGATGCCATGAAAAACATGGGTGAATGGTAGGTAAGTTGTGAGCAAACACGAATATTACTGATCAGGGAGAATGTCTGTTAAGGCATCACCTAACCTTCCCATTTTCCGGCTTTGTGGAGCTTGAACATGAGACAGTCTTACTCTGGCATTAAACCAGCAGGTGATTTTGATCATTGAATTAATAAAAGAGCAAGCCGCCTTTTAAAAAATCTGGCATAGCCTAAGCAGATTTTTAGATGTATTTCTTGTAAGCAAAATGGGCCTATAATGATGCTAACAGATGTTACTTTGTTGGAGCTGAATTAGGTCCAAGTAATTCAATTTTAGGGTTGCACCAATGGATGATTCCTTGGGCTTCATCATGTATATTCTGGTAGGAAAATTCTAAAAAGATCCAATTGCATTGATGACACAGTGCTTGAGAGTACATATATTTAAGCGGTTGGCTATACAGATGGATGATGGGTAGAAAATAGCCTTAGTGTACTAATTTCTCATTGTTCTGACACACAAATCTCCCTTGTTTGCCTACAGCAAGTTCTCATACCTTTCAGTTTCTATTTTCTAACATCTAAAAAATAGAGCTAATAAGTTTACGCTTCCTCCCTCACAGGATGCTGGAAGAGTTAATTAGCTAATAATGAAGATAAAAAGCAGTGTATAACTAGCATGATCATCATAATTAAGATATCTCCTGAGGCCCCTTCCGTAAACTTCAGTTAGCATATTTTAGTAGGTAGAAAATAACCATTAAAAAAATCTATTGTATTGTTCAGTGACTGGCATTGCAAGTATTCTAAAGAAAGAGCCGTTGAGTCTCCATTTTGGAATCGCCCCTCCCAACCGAAGTAGATCTTAATTGTGGGGAAGGAGGGGAAGTTTTGCATTGAGGAATTCTTTGTCAAAACATTTTCAGAAAAGGAATATTATCTACTTCCACCCTCCTCTCATAATTCATATGCTTATCTTGTACATGAACTCCAATAATGAATCAGGGTGTACACTGAAGCAAAGCAGAACATTCTCTCTGGAATTCATTAACATGTTTGACAAATAACCCAGTTGGATATCCTTGAAACAAAGTGCTACCTTGTGATTAATCACGTAACATGTACTAAAAGTGTTTTGATTAGTCTTGCACACTTTCTGCTCTGAGGATGAATGAAATGCTCTGTTGTGAAAGCTGTTTCACTGCTCTGCCTTACACTTGTGTGTTCTGATTAGAGGCAGAGCTGGACAACTGTTGACATTCAGAAGTTCAAGAGGGAGCAGCTCTTGCTTCATCATCCCTTATAGTTAATGGTACCTGAAAGTCTTGGCTTCAGTAAAGGCTTAGCTTCACTTGGGACTTTCCACTTGAGCCATTTATTGTGTGCTGCTGCTTCCTCATTCAAAGTAGTTTCTAGGGGCTTTATCCAATGTCACCGTTGTCCAAGGCCTCTCCAACGTTTTTCAAGTATTTCTGTGAATCCCTTTAAGTCATGGAAAGTGTAGTATGATCTAGAAGTGGCAAACACAGTTTTTCATTGCATTTTGATTCAATCATTTATTTATTTGATTTTTAAAATGTATTATCATTGACTATAACAAAATCTTGTTTATTGCTGAGTAAATGCATTTAACAGAAGGACAGCATAAGCAAATCCCATTCTATTCCTGTAATCACAACAGTGCTCTGATTTAAATGGGCTTAAAATGCAAAACTGCACATGTTCCAAGGGGAGTTTATTCAGGGCTGACCAAGAGTTTTTCGTTTGATTTGCTTTGTTCTTGTTCTAACATATTAGCTATGTAGAACCCAAGAAGAGGAAAAGGAGAACTATTATTTGTGTGCTTCATAACAGAAGACAAAATGTCCATCCACAGCCACCTGCCCCACCTCATAAGACCAAGATTAACTTATAACACTGGTGATGCTTACCTCTTAGTAAGGTGCTTAGTAACCTTAAGCACCCTTAAGGTTGCAATCCTAAATCCCATATGAGGGAATAAGTTTTGTTGAACTTAGTGGGACTGATGTTTAAAACTGCACCGGATCACACAATAGATGAGTTTCCCTGAATCACCATCTTAGCAGCTGCTTCTTTTCTTCTTTTATTTAAAATCCTGCCTGGGTAAGAGATCTGTGAAATGTAAACTTTGGATCATTGCTTTGTGACTTTCAACAGCCTCCAGCAGAGGCCAGTGGCTCCAATGCCACCAGACTGGGAATCACTCTGCACTTGTAAGGAGCTATCCGTGGTGCCTAATCGGTTTGGGGACAGTATTCAGGACCACGGACAGCTCCTTTAAACTTTGGAGATTCTGTTTTTGGTGTTTGGCTTTATCCTGAAGATGCTAGCACTAAATACAGATTTGAGTGTGTTTCCTTCCTTGCAGCCCTCAGCTTCTCCTTCTTGATGAGACGTGCAGCAATGAACAGTGCTGTCAGACTAGAATGTGTGCTGAGGTTTACACAGAGAAGGAAAAGGAGAAAAAAGTGAACGCTGTTTATTTGGAAAGAGAAGCAAGCCACGCATGGCTGATGTTACTAGCGGGTGTTAAGTCTCTCATCCTCATTCACATCTTCAAATGCGTAAGCACATCAAAAGTTGAAATTTGTTCAGGGGGTGCTGTTTCTCATTGTGCAAATGACTTCAAAGGGTGCTATCTGCTCATGCAACTGCAAATGTAAACCAATTCCATAATGATGTTCGAAAGAAAGAGCAGCTGCTATTGAATGGCAAAGGCCAAAATTTATACTATGCAGTTTAGCATTCTGCTATCCAGTTTGCCTTTTAAGCCAACAGCTGCATATCTTGACTTCATAAGAAGATGGACACAACAGCCAACAAAGCACAGCACACACTGCTCTCACAGTCAAGAGGTTACAATTAAATTCACCCTGATTCTAAACAGCCCTTTTTTTAAAAAGCCTCATTCTTGGAGTTCAGAGGGAGCATCTTTCTAGTTCCTTTTCACCAGATTTGTTATTCAAACAAGCTTTCACCAGCTGTCTCAGGAAATCTGTTCTGCTCTGGGTTGAATCTAGGATTCAGGGATGACATCAAGGATAGACATGGTAGACATCTGCCCAGTGGGACCATGGACAAGATTTCCTGGCGTTGCTTCTCCTTGCCAGCCCTGCCATTTCCTTGTTTGCTTGCTTCTCATGCTGGTCCAAGCAGCAGCACATGCCCACGGGTCTTCATCCTGCCCAACAAGCATGCAGTATGAGGAACAAGAGGAAGTCATGACAATGGTGGGGAGAAGGTAGATCCTTGAGGGAAGCGACCATTGGGTCCGTCTTGTCCAGGAGCCCTCAGCAGCCTGGAACCAGGACCTAAAGCATTAGCCCTTGTCTGAGGCAGGAAAGGAAGGAAAAGTGTCCCTGAGGATTTTATTCCACTAGCCGAATGGCCATAGGGGACGGCCCTCATCTCTGTTTCTAAGCCCATGAGCCAGCATTGCCTGAGGATGCTCCTGTGGTCATGTGGCCAGCATGACATCACAGGGCGCTGTGTCCTCCCCAGCAAAGTGGTACCTATTTATCTACTCACATTACATGATTTCGAATTGCTAGGTTGCCAGGAGCTAGGGACAAGGCAGCGGTGGCTCAGTCCATCATGCATGCCCAGTGGCTCAGCAGTTTAACCCACTGCGCCACCTTGTCTGAGCCAGGCCCTGCCATAAAATGAGGTGACACAACCTGCTTCAGCCATCACCATTGGAGGGCATAATGCGAGCAGGCAACTGAATAGAACTTCAAGGCTGTTGGCCCTAACGGGGGCGGGGGCTGATGGAGGGCTTGGCATAGAATCACACTGTGGCATGGAGTTGTCCTTCCCCGGCAAATTTAACCAGCTTGGTGTTACAAGCTTTGTTTGGCAAGCTGTTCCTCTTCATGGCTTCTGGGTGCCAGGTATGCACTCCCCGTCCCCCCCCCCCATGTTGCAAACATGCAGAAGGGAAGCCTCCCGTGGAGGTGGCCAGCTTGCCAGAATGGAACGAAATGGCTGGTTGCTGGAGAAACTGCCCAGTGAGGAACAGGTGTGACAGCTGGGACTGCAGGGTCTTTAGCAGAAAGGTGGGTCAGGGCTGGCATGCAAGGGGTGTGGAGAAAGTGGACAGGGGATCCTTTCTCCTGCTGTCTCGTAATACTAGAACCCAAAGGACTCACCCCTTGAAGTTGATTGTGGGGAGATTCAAAACAGCAAGAAGCAGAAAAAGAAGGGGAGGAGGTAGATGCGGAGGAAGAGGAAGAAAATGAAGTTTTTCTTCATGCAGTATGTAGTTAAACAATTGGGCCAGAGAGAGGAATATCTGCACAGGGAGGATGGAATTTTGTCTGCACCCCATTATGGTACTTATGCCTTTCATAGTCCGAGGACCAAATGCTGCTCCTCCGGCCATGCACAGCCACTGCTAAGACTGCGAGAGGAAAAGATGCAGCAAGCAGCCCTGGCCCAAGCAGAGGACGAGACGGCACCTTCCTCCTTTCCATGGACCACAGCTGGCCCGGCTGATAGCTGAATGTTATAGGATCTAACACCAGACATGGGACAGTGCCCTCCACCTCACTTGATGGCTGCCCACACCGTTCTTCCTCCAGTGCCATGCCATGGATTTTGCCCTTTAGCAAAGGGATTTTGCCCTGGAGTCTAGCAGAATGGACAGCCCTGGCAGCCACCTTTACATTGTGCTTAGATGCAGCTCCATGGTCTGGCCCATATACTACTTGCTGACATTCTAAGAACTGGTGCTGTGCATGTTTCCTTCTCCCTCCCAATCCCTTTTCCTTTTGTGTTGTGCATTCCAGTTATTAAGCCTTAATATAGGGATGACTTTATTACTAATCTATGTAAGTCACTTACTCTGTTTTCTTTATGTATTAACTTATTTGATTTCTAGCCTATCTTTCCACCAAAAAATTGCACACAAGGCCCTTCTAGGATGATGAGCCAAAACTTTAACTAGTTATGGGTAGGTAGGTAGATGGGGCTGAACATAACTGGAATACTTACCAATTATTAGTTTCTAGATAGATTTTTTTTTAAAAAATGTTATGGTCTTACCATTTCTCTTTGAACAGAGTATTGCGCGCGCGCGCGCGCGCGCGCTCTCTCTCTCTCTCTCTCCCTCTCTCTCTCTCTCTCTCTCTCTCTCTCTCTCTCTCTCTCTCTCTCTCTCTGGGCCATGTTTGGAAAAAGTGAAGTGGGAAAGCACATATGGAGTTTTCATAATGAAAGTTCTGTTATCACAGAAAATATCTTCAGGCACACATAACAGGGAGGGCAGATTTGGAAGATGGCTACATCTTTCCTTTCCTTTCAAGCCCATACGTGACGTTTCAAATATGAAAAGGTCACCTGTGCTTCCCAAAGCAATAACAAAAAGAGATTCATCTATTCTGACACCTTCATTTCCCATTTTTATAACTCAAATAGGACTACTATAAATATTCTATTCTTATTTTTTTATTATTTTTTAAAAAATAACACCAATACAAAGATATGTACTATGCTCTTTTTGGTATTTAAAAATGAATGAAAACTCTTATTAATATTTGAAAGCATGGTTACTAATATTTGAAAGCATGGTTACACACCAGGAATTGATAGTCAATTATTAATGCTCAATAATTTTCTCATACTTTTAAAATATGTACATCAGTGTTAACACAATGACCATCTTGTAGGCACTGGGAATTGGTATTCTTTGATAGCCCACAAAGCACCCGGATGGCAGGCCTTTGAACACATTATACCCTTGGTAAAAATTTAATCGAGTTTTCTGTGCAGCCGAACCCAGATTGCTTTATAGTACCATAATGCCACCTAGGGGTGATCTAACAAAAAGGCTCTGGACTGATATTGTACGTCCAGCCAAAGGAGACCAAGGTGAGCATGTTGTCCAGGACCAGCGGGATTCTGGAGCTGCCAAAAATGAAAACTGAGAGCCAGGGTGGTGCAGTGGTGAAGAGCCTGGGACTGGGACTCGGGCGATCCGGGTTCGAGCCCCCGCTCAGCCATGGAGCCAACTGGGTGACTTTGGGCCAGTCACAGCCTCTCAGCCCAACCTACCTCACAGGGTTGTTGTTGTGGGGATAAGATGGAGCAGGAGAGATGATGTAAGCTGCCTTGAGCCCTTTGTAGGAAAAAGGCAGGATATAAATCGCAATATAAATAAATAAATAAATAAATAAATAAAAGCACAGCCAGATTTTTTGATCCGCTCCTCTTTGTTCCCAAGGCACCTCTACTTAGCCTCGATTCCTCCAGATCTGCTGGGCTGCAATGCTATGAAGATGCCTTTTTGCACTATAGAGTAGTGGTTGCCTTCCAGCAGCACTCAGGTCTCCCTTGCCTTGAATTTGTTGTGGCCCATAAAAGAC